TGGTCAGAGCCAATGGGCCAATGGGACAACAGAACTCAGAGGGAATTAACATGTGAACACAAAGGCCTGTGGGAAAGAGGCCTTAAATTGGGATGTGTTACTTATTGCAACCATTCCAAGGCTGGGGGATGATTTTAGTGAATGGTCCTTGAGTCTTCAAAACTAGTTACTTGCAATATTTTTCTTAGACTTCTACAAACTGTCCTGAAAAAGATATGTTAATTATTATATTTCATGATCATCTGGAAAAATCTTAGAGTCCAGTGTTCTACAAGCCATACTGTAATACAAGGCTGGCCTAAATTTATTCATATTATACCTATGCATAACTTTTTTTTTAAATTTTGTTTGTAAAAATCCTGCCACAGACATTCTACTGAAAATCTCAGTAAACTGCTTGAAAGTTCTGAGTTGCTTCCTTCTGAGTTTGACTAGCAACAAATTCCTGCTTGGAAATTGTTCAGTTGTATTCTTCTAGAAACAAGTCTCTTTAGTCTGGATATGTACAGGCTATCAGGGAGGCACTTTATGGGGTTTTTTTTGAGAAGTTAAACAGTCTGGCCTCCAGGAGTCTCTCTTGTCAGGTACAATTTCCTGCTCTGCTGTCAACTCTTTCTTCTCAACTCTGTGAAGATTATAAATTATTTTCTTCAACTGAAAATGACAGAAGTTTTTTTAAGAAATATATATTTAGGAGGAGTACCTCATTCTTGTGTGCTCCAGAGTCATCAATACTGTGTATGTCAGTTATGTTATTGACCAAGGAATAAACAGTAATAGCATGCAAGAATTTAGACAGTCCCTCGGTCAACTTCTTGGAGGGTTTTCCAGGCTTGCAGGTTTCTTTTTTTGGGGGGACTTCACACCCCTGTTGAATCCTGCTTTTGCCCAATCCAGCCATGTTGCTGGGGGTGGCATGTATCCACATACAGCAAACTCATTTGTACCCACTGTGGTTAACATAGTTCAGAAATACAGAATTGAGAAGCCTTATCCCCACTGACAGCGAAGCAAAACTAAGCAGAGGACCCTGGAAGAAAACATTAATTCTGACAGAAGACCACCTAGAATTCCTTCTTCATGGACCAGCTCTGTGCACTGGGTAATAAACCCAAAATTCTCAACTATGAGAATTTGTTATTGTTAAGCAAAGATAGGCTTTGAAAGCCTGTGTGCCATCATAAAAAACTGCACTATTTAATTGGATTAAGACACACACGTGTGTCAACATCTGATCATACTCATACAGTACAGTATATACATACATACAGTACAATAGATGTAGGATTTGTTTCAGTGAGCACAGGATCAAAAATCCTGTTTACAAATCCGGGACTAAAGCTTAAGCATTCAAATTGTGAGTAGTCACTGCTGAAAACATAATTTCTACATGGTGCTATATGCTTTCTAGGTATGTGGCCTGCAAAGAGAATTCACAGATCCATACAAGTGCTCACTATCTTCAATTAGAAACTGACATTACATTTAAAAATGTTTTTATTCCTCAAGTTGTGGTCTATTCACTCCCAGTAGCCTTTAAGAAAAAAGGTCCATGAAACTGTCTTGTTCAAGCCTATCAGGCATTTTTAACTACTGCCCTTAAAGATGCAGGACCTTTTGAAGTTTGTATGGTAACTGTGACATTCCCAACTCAAGAGATTATAACTCTTTGCATATAATACTTAACTACAGTTATGGATTCTTTCATTAATGCCCAATTTTTCAAGTCTGCAGTTAAATGCTTCTAGCTCGACTATGATCTTCTGATTTGCTTTTATAAAATGCCTCTTTTTAATTTGAAATTAGGAGGTTCAAATGGCTGAACTAAAACTTAAGTCATGGCTTTTATTTAGGATCAGAAAGTGCATGCTCATTTGTTTAATGTGATTAAATTTTGCTTGTCAATCCATGTCCTGACTTTCTGAATATTTTGTCCAGGAATATTTTTAGCTGCTCTCAGCACAATTGTGGGAAATTAGATGAAATGTCACTGGTTTTGAAGTACCAGAAGATATTTTTCAGCTCTTTAAATGTGCTGTGGCAGTAGGAAACATGGGATTCAGCTGGAAATAACATTGAGCCAACAGTGAATGAGATAAGGTTAAATGACAAATCACTAAAGTACGGAAACAAAGGAAGCAAAGTGGCTCAATTTCTCATTTCCTTTTCCTCTCCTGCAAAAAAAGTCAAAATTATACATGCCAAGCAATAATTGTAATGCTCATAAGATCTCATTTTAACTCTGCTGGGAGCAAGCCATGAACGCATTCTCAGTGCTTCTCCCAGTAAACAAAGCTTGCTTTGACCTCACTGTCATCGTCAGCAAACACACCAGCACTGGTGAGCTCAGCAGAAAAGCTTGTGACAGAGTAACCTTGGGATGTGAGTGACGTCTGAAACGGAACAATATGCACTCCTATGTCAGTGATTTTTATATTTCTACATATTTTGGAAATCACTGTTCGCATGAAGTTGTGGAGGGAAGGGAATGCTACAACCCTTGAGATCTTTCCAAGGGCTGTTGGCTCCAGCTGAGCTTCTGCACGCTCTGGTCTCACCATCAGCCCTCACAGCCCAATGCTGACTTTACTCTGTGAGTGGTAAGGCTCACCATTTCTCAAATCCCACATTGAGTTCAGAACTCAGCAGCAATCACCAGCTAGCGGAGACAGCTCTTAATTTGACAGATCCTCATTTCCCGTTTTAAAAGATGATGTGGAAAACATACTCTAGGCTTATAGCTTCAGGAGTTCCCCTACAATAGTATTTCTGGATAAGACACAACATGCACTTAATATTGGTACTTTTTTATTGTTCATAAACGTTCAGCTCATCAGACAGATTTTACTGCTTTTTGAGAAAAAATTCCAGAAACCAAAATATATCCAAGTGTAGAGCTGACAATGAAACACAGAAAACATGTTCTGGGTGAAATCTCGGACAGATTTAGAACCATCAAGACACTAAGTCCAACTTTCAGAATTACACAGGGACTCCAATATATGAATTCCACCAAGAGGCAGAGCTGAATTTTTAATGGCAAACATTGCAGTGACTCTGCAAAGGCTTACTTTCTTTAAAATATGTTTTTGCTCTGGAAGTGGATGTAGTGAATCTCAGTGACCCAATAAGGCAGATGTAACCAAAAAATGCCTTTTGTGTCTAAGAAAAGAAAGTATTCCAAGAAGAGCAAGAGGGGACGCAAAGGTGAGATTGTATGATATCCATAATCCTCCAATTACCAAACCGCTTGTCAGTGGGCCAGCCCTTGGTGTGACCTCAGGAGCTCGCAGTATATGTTGCCAGCCAGCAGCTCCTAGGAGCCAGTCTAGCAATCACAAACTAGTGCCCCCACTCTTCTGTCCTCAGGCCACATGCCTTCTCCCAGCCAAAAGAAGGAGGGGTGGCACTGGTCCAGCTCCGACAGCACCTCTTCTTACGCTGGAGACACTAACAACAGATCTGCAGGGTTTACACAGCTTTGTTCTGTAGAACTGGAAAAAAAAAAACCTGAACCTTTGACTCCTGAAGATATCTATCTTCAGACTATACAATCCTCATTCCAAAGATGAAAGGGCTGCTGAGGTACCATTGATTGTTTTGGAAATTATTTTCACCAAAGAATGCTGGTACTTTTCCAGTCTGAATTAACAGCCTGCCAGGGCTGGAGTCAGGAGCATTTCTCTAATAACAGAACAAAGATATTGCTGCTTGTTTCACTTACTCCACAAATCACACAGCTTGATTGCTTGGAAAAGTTGTTGGTACCCATATTTCATTTTAGTGTGTATGAAAGCACTCACTTCCTCTGATTTGTAAGTACAATAGTAAGTGTGAATGCTCCAAGAAAAGTCACATCAATCACATAATACATAACAGACAACTCGAGGCCTTAAGCCCATACATGATGTACAGTTTCTTTCATGATATCAGGAAGCCTAGATTGCTAGTTCACAACTTGTACTGGATTTTGTCATACCTTTAGAATAACCTCATCACTTAATAAAAGGCTTCAGAGTAAGTAAAATAATAATTGCTCTCTGCTGTACCTTGTAAAAGGAGTATTGCTTCCTTCATGTGTTTAGCCTATTCCTATACTGATGTGTTTTGGCACTCATTCCTCTACATAAGGTAACAGCATTTTTCAAAATAGCACCTTCAAACACCTTCCCCATGGCTTTCTTATACCCATTCTTCCAGTCAGCACTGGCTCTGTTATGGCCACAATTGGTACAGAGGGCAGGGTGGTATTTTATGCCAGCCATCTGGCACACCATGATCATTTTGTCTTGACATTAAAATGTTTTATTTTACAAAGTTCATGTGCTTCCCCGACTTATAAATTTTTTTACATGAAGAGTTTACTGAGCTGAGGATAAATCACATGGTCAGCCTAATTCTTAAACAAAAAGAGGGCACTTCTGGGTGTTTTTTTACAAAAAGCCTGTCTGCTTCTACCACATGAGTGGATCCCTTTACATGAAAAGGTTTCACTTGTAGCAGTCAAGAGCTTCATAAGATGCAGTTACACGTGAATGTGAACACTGGAGTGCTCCAAACAAAAAAACCCCCAAAAACTGAAAAACCCAAACAAAAATGAACAAACTTAAAGGAGCTACATGATTTCTCTGGTTAGTCAAGTTCGGCTAAAGATCTTTACACCAACCAGAGAGTCTTGGAAAGAGGAGAAGCGAAATTTTGTTTTCAATGAAGTAATTTTCTCTATTTGACTTTACGCTTTAGTAGCAACGGCTGATTTTTACTCTGGAGACTTTTGAAGCACATGATATCATTACACAATAAAGTTTTGGTGACCATGTCTCTCCAGATGAATTTTATTTCTCTCATGGTTTGTCTTGAAAGGCATGGGTGCATGTGTGTGTATTCATGTGCACACACTTACACACACATGCTTTATTTAGCTTAGGATAAATGTGTGTCTGTCTGTCTGTGTCTGTGTGAGCAGACGTGCATTTGTATGCATGTGTGTTACATCCGCTTCACTTTGCAGGTTTTGGTTTACAGGACCTCTGGTGGACGATCAGTCTGTCTGGAAGAAAAGTACGCCCGCAAATATCACATGGAACTAGCTGGGCTTGGGCACTGGTCCAGGCAGCCTCATTTAGAGCATCAAGATCATAGAAACCTTTGGCTGGAAAATTAGAAAAAGAAAGTATCAGCTTTCATTCTGGAGACCCACATTCAACTCTTTATGGAAAATATTTTCAGGAAATACCTGTTGACTGAGCCTTTCAGTTTAACCAAACCATATTGCTTTTGCAAATGAAAAAGAAAAGAAAGAAGCAAAAGAGTAAAAAGTATATTAAAAAGACTGTTTTTTGTCCCAAGGGTTGAATTAAATTAACTTCAAACTGAATAATTTTGTATTGTATGAGAGTACAGAGAAAACATCATGCTGTGTGTTATGATCTGCATTCTCAGCTAATTATTAACATCTTTGCATAGGTACTATTATCAGCAAATTCACTTTTTGGCTTTGCTTCAAGCTCTGTTTAACAAGCATGTGTTATCTGACCATGGCTATGGGTGGGAGCATATCGTACTTGAGAATATGCTTCTTTGTACTGCTCTGGACAAGGGGCCCAATTTTCTTCCTGTTAGAGTCCATGTAAGTTATACTTAAAAAGTAGAGTAAATCTTAGATAAGCCTAAAACCTTACAGACAAAAACTACAGTACTTTAAAGCCACAACTTCCTGTGAAGTCATTGCAGTGATGCATCTATTGTCATCTAAACACTAATCCAGCCCTACCCTCAATTATTTTCCACTGTGGGAAGAATGACTGCTGTGAAAACTCGGAAGCATTCTTCAAACACTCAGATGTGTTTTCAAGATTTAATTTGGGTAAAAAAAAAAAATCTTGTTTACTTTCATCTTGAAATGGACTTTCCTTTCGAAATGGATTTTCACATAGTGTTGTTTCAAACTGATTTGCAAAAAGGCCAGGCAGGTTGCTTAATACCTGGATTTAGATCTTAAGGATTTTCATTTGAAGTGCATGCACAAAAAGGTCTACAAAGTCTATATGGCTCAAATTAAAGACTATTTGCTTCACCCTTCTTATTTGGTATGACAATATAGAAAAAGATTTTAAAATCTGTTTTTTTTCTTTGAACTGTTAGCAGTGGACAATTTTTGAAAGAAAAGGATTTTTGCATTTAAAAATATTTCATGGTTTCTGTCATTGGCACATGATAGAGCTCTTCATTAACGGCCCATACAATTTTAATATGAATCATATCCAGTGGTTCACATAACCACAATAAGCCTTAGATCTCTTAATATGCCTGTTCCTAATGTTCTTTTTGTTAGAAGAGCAATCAAGTAGTGTTTCTTTTCTTGGCTGAGACAAATATCCCCTCTGCTTGCAGGAAATGAATGTGTATTTTCTGTACTTTGGAAAGTTTATGGAATATTAAAAAAAAAAAAAAAAGAGGAGAGGGAGAAAGAGAGATGACTTTCTCCTTGCAGGCATGTGTTAGGCATTCCACAAACAAAACACTGTGTAATGAGGGCAGTGGTTGTCTTCCCGTGGCACTCGAGTTTTCAGAAAAAGATTTATGTAAGTTATAAAAAGTTTTATGAAAGCAGTTAATATTTCTGAGCTTTTTTTGAACATTGTCTATTTCATTCAACAACAGGGGTAATCCCTCCCTCCTGAGCTAAGAAACTGTGAGACATGCAGTACATGCATGTGGTCTGAAGGTCAGTTATAGCATTTACCACATGACCAAGAGTAAGTCTTATGGAAAAAGAACAACACAGCTTATTTTCTCAAGGCCAGGAATATGAGGCAGCTGCAGGGGGAACAACAGTTTTAGCTCAAGCTACAGAACAGATCAGGCTTGCATCAGCAGGCATTTAGGGACAGATGCTGGAAGCAGGTCAGTATCCCCAGAGGAACCGTGGGCACACACCTCACAGGAGATTGGAGGCGCCTGTGATATGACTCATTGAGTAAATGAGACAACTTTCTGATTCATATCTGGGAGCCTTCTGCTAGATTGTTTTCTCAAAGAGTGGTTGTCTTTCTGCTTTCACTCCTTTAAAATAAGAATAGTGTATTTCAAAATAACCTGATTTGCCTTTTTGCATCCCCCTCTTTCACATGGAATTCTCATTTTCTCCATCTGTTTTACCACACAATGTGTAATAATTAAAAAGTGCTTAACATCTTAAAAGGCAAATACAATGAAGATGTCTTTTGAACACATCTTCTACTGCAGATTCAAGTATGCCACTTGGCATCTGTTAACCGAGTTCCGATTTTATATTACTTCAACTTTGATTATTATTTTGAACATCTGGTTAGTGTTCTCAGTGATCCTGCTCTCTTCTGCATGTCTTCTGAGGACATATTTCTTTGTACTGCTGTAAACTGATCTGGTGTATGACTCTTTCACAAGTGAGTTGTAGGAGACTTTGTCTACTTTTCCAGACATTTTGGGAAGCTGAGGGAAATTGTGGGGAATTTAAAAAAAAAAGTGTGTGTGAATTAAATGCCTGTGAGGAAGTGGTCCAAACTTGGCCCAAAGTAGCTCAGACCAGCTGGCAGGGCCAGGGAAAGCATCCAGCAAGAAAGGTGAAATAACTTTATGTGGGAGTGGGAAGTCCTGGGAAGAGCTTCCAGGCAAAGCATGTATAGGAACTCCTTTACATCCTAGAGGGAACATATGACCCTCAGATACATATGACAACCCATCTGTGGGGATGCTGGGGATCATCAGTGTTCATTGATTTGAAGAAGTGGAACCTTAGGAAACAGAACCCACTGAACAAACATGTAAAATTGGCAAAAATTAATTGTTTAGTTTGTACTACATATATGCATTTCTCCACTGTGTTTATATTACAGTGTCTCACAATGAAAGCTTCTCAGACTTGTAAATAAAAAGGCATCAATATGGGCTGTTGACTGTAGAAGAATCTGGCTGAAGTATCTACACCTATGTTGCCTGAGGATATTTTATTTTAATGGTTCTGTGTCATGTCTGCTCGTTATTCTTGGATGTTTTTGCTCATTTTAAGACGTGCCTGTGTTAAAAGAAGTCAAAAAGTAGTAGTGTAGCTGTGAAGCAGGTTGCTAATCTATTTGTGTTTTGATTCAGGACACATTGGCACATGGAGGGGAATGTCCCAGGAGCCATGTTCCATAGATAATGACTACTTTTACTTTCAAGACTTTATTATAAGGTTTCCTTCTGTGAAGCAGAGGGAAAGCTTAAAACAAGATCTTGACAGTACACAGGAGAACAAAGTACTTGCAAACTGTTTACCTATGGCTTTAAAATATTTTTTTAATTCCTCACAATTTTTTGCTCATCTCTCATAATTTAGTCTGTAGCTTACCTTGCACAGTCCTGACTTCAGGTTTTTTGGGTTCTGGCCTTCTCAAGTGCTTGGGGAGGTTTTCATTCTCCTGGTGCCATTTTTTCAGGCATTGTGGCTCATGTATACTAATAGATTTTGTTCCATACTCACGGCCACATATGTAGCAAATCACTGTTGGCGGCCGTCTTATCACTTTTGCCTGCAAATAACAACCATGAAGAAAAATAAATATAATTTTCAATATTCACTTTGAATCAGAATGACTTTGTATGGAAGCAATCATGTAGATAAGGAATGTGTTATCTGTGAAATCTGTGTAACTGTTTTTTTCAGTCTGGTTTTGCTGGGAATCAGTCCTGAGGCTTGTAAGAGATATTGCCTCATTAAGTGGGCACCTGGAACAGGCAGATTTCTTTTGCAGATGCTGGGATGACTGATGTGTGGGACTAATCTATACTTAACTGTGTTAAGTTTTGTCTCTTTGATTTTCGTAACTGAAAGTTCTTGAAAATGCTAAGTCTTCACATGCAGAAACAACACCTCTGCTTCATCAGGTTACAATGCAGCATTCATCTTAAATGGTTGAAGCCATTTTTTACTTACAAATCAGACGTAAAATGGAAAGCAGCAACGGAAGCTTCATCAGCTGAACTCTTGATGTCTAGTACAATAACAGAAAGACTCCATCTTCTACCAGAACACAGCTCAAAGCACTGTGTCCAGCCTTAGTATCTCTCTTAAGCAGGACAGCGAGGGCAGCTCTCCCAAGAGATGATTGTGGTTCTTTACCTCACTTTTGACACAGATTAGTTATCTGGTGGAATTCTTGGCCTTCAAAGATTAGAACCAAGCCAGGATATTTCAGGATGAGGGGCAAAAAAGAAACTGCTGTTTGTTTATCCCAAAGGCCTTAGTGTGAACTTTGCCAGTGACTGCAGCAAGGGCAGAACTGGACTCTAAGCAAGTCATTGTTTCCACACTGAAGATCTGCTTTTGTTCTCAGAGGAAAACAGCTCAACAACAGAAGAAAAAGTTTCCTCAACCCCAAACCTCACAAATACATAATCTAAGGCTGAAAAATGTATAATTACTGTGGTATTGCAGATTATGGACTCAGCTGTGTCCTTAGGCGGGTCTTGGGCTAGGCGTGGTGTCAGCACCAGCCGTGCTCAGGAAGTAGGATAAAAACATGCTGCAGGGAAGAACTCTGAGGCACACAGATGGGTCTCACAACTGCCAGCACTTCCTACACTTCTGACTGCAGAATACCAGTAAGAGATGAGCTATCCCTGCCCTCCTCAAGTTAGACGGACAGCCATGCCAGACCAAATACAGGAAACCTTTCTCACTCAAACAAGAGTGATGGGGGTTTCATTTTTTCCTCTGCTGCTGTGTAAGACAAAGCATAACCTGTTCCCGTATTTATGACTCTTTCTGTCAGCCCATCAATTTGTTCACGAAATTCTGGGCAGTTCTTCTTGTATTTATGTTACAGTCTGAAAATGTCATTAGTGAACAATCTGCATAAGATTGCCTTCCTGTATCACACATGTAATCTCACTTACATGAAAGAAATACTACTCCATAAAGTGTATTTCTTCCGGGAAAAGTTGGACTTCATCTGGAAAGTTCTCACAATGTCTTGAAAAGACGGGCTCTCCGAGGACATTTTCATCCTCTTGACTTACAAATGGAATTTCCTTGCTATCTTTGATAACACAGTATTTTATATAAGCAAATTTTCTAATATATGTAAAAATACAGCCTTCTTCTCCTATTTTTTAGATGAATACAGCAACAGCTATTTTAAAAACATCTTATAACTTTCCATTATCAAATTTCAGTTACTTCTTTACTTCAAGTTGTGAGCTAGAACTTGTCTGATTTTAAAGTAAGACTCTGGGTCCAGATACAAAGTCTTCTAAAGACACTATACATTTATTTGTAGGCTCTGGAGAACTTTAGATAAGGAAACTATAATCTAAACTCCTGAGGTCAGAGAACTCTTTTTAGTGTGCATTCCTGCTGAGGGTACTATTTTAGAAACGGTTTCTTAAAAAATGTTAGGTGTAAAATCATTGGGAACACACTTTCCCCATGAGTTCTCATTAGCTGGGTTCCTGCCATTCATTTAAATAGTTACTTATTGGCTACAAACTAGGAAAGAACAATTTATTTATATTCAGATTGTAGGGACTCTTCTATGGTAACATAATAAGAAAAAGAAATCCTAGTGCAAATGCAGAAATTTTTTCAAGTAGAAATGTCTGTCTTTTGCAATTTCCACAATTAAAAATGGTACAGAAACAACAGGAGAAAGCAGAATTAATTAAAAGAAATCAGATCACTCTTAGGGTAGAATTATTTTCATTGCCGAAAAATACTGAGATTGACCCATCACCACACATACAATTATATACACAAATTGTTCTCTGCACACGTGTTTAAAACCTGAAAGAGATTAGCCTAACAATTGGTAGTAACAGATTTTTCTTTTTTTAACTGTGGAATCCAAGTTATGATAAGCTTTACTTGGAATTTCTACAGCTGATGATATTTACCCTTCATTTCTTTTTGTTTTCAGTGTGTCTATCCCAAATATAACATCTGGAGGCCTGCAGTTTGAAACTAAACTATTTTTGGAAACACCACAATTTTCCAACCCAAACTACTCACAGGCCAGTGGCTAGGCTGTCTGTTCACTGCTTTGTTTTTAACTTTCAAAAAGGGTTGTAGGGAAGGTCTGTTCCTGAGGATATGTGTTATTATAAAAATACCTACAAATACCTAACAGAGTAGTTAGGCTTTCCTCTGGTGTCTCAGTATTTTCTTTTTTACTCCAAGACTGCTAAGTATGTCTGCGTGACTATGAATGAAGTTATTTAGTTCAGAGGGCTATGCAACTATGTATTTTCAATAGACCTGACATTACTTAAGGTTAGCCCCAGGCTGCTGTTACGGTGTTACATGAGGTCAAATCCTTCCATACTGCACAAAGCTTTTTATTTCTTCTTAAGTACACACAATAAGACTGAATCCCAGACTTCCCTACATAAATATTTATCATCCAGGACTGCACACACCTCTTCCCTTCTTATTTGTTTAATTATCCATTTATTTTAATGGGAAGAGGGGGGGCATCCTGCTCTGGGATGGAGCTCGTGTCATAGACTTGAACTGCCCATGGATTAGAGGCTCAGGAAAAGAATGGTGCAAGCACTTAGTAGCAGCAGTCTATTGCATGAAAGCAACCCTTTCCACACATTCCTCTCAGCCAAGTAAAAGACATTTTGCATAAGGATCATGGACAAGGTATATGGTGACTATCTCATGACTATCGAAAGCTGCACTTCACAGCCTACAACAGCACTCATGTTAGGATCACATGCCTTGAGCAGCAAGGTAATTCTGCAAGATTATGCATACAATTAAAAATATTACTCCACTGGAAGCATGAAATATCCCATTTTGCTCCTGATGTGTTTTTTTTAAATTGAGTATGTCAGTACAATGAATGGCGCACCCATGTACAAGCAAAGGAAGGAAGGACACATTCCCAATGATAATACTCAGTAAGCTTCATTCAAACCACCCATTCACTGTCTATTCTCATCTAACTTTCTATATTTGCAAATTTATTTGTCAGTATTCTCTAGGAAGATATTCAAAACCACTGCAATGAGGCAAAAAAGCTCATTGACTTTCCAACTTCATTAGAATTATACTGCACCTGAAGAAGCCTTCCCTTTACCAAGATGCTACATGGTTTTAGCTAGAGTAAAATACAACATCAAAGTTCTTGCTACACAAATTTTAAAGATTTACATTGTGTTAAAATGCATTACAATTCAGCAAAGGAACATCAGTGAAATCTTTTCAGGTAGTTAACCAGATAAGAAGAAAACAGCAGATGGCAGCACCATCTAATAGGCTTTTAAGATCAGCGTTATCTATTGTCAAAAACCCCGTAACTCATATACACACAGCAAGTTATTGGTGCTCACTTACACATATCACATATTTTTGTCTATGACTTGCACTAAAACAGAGTCTGTGTTCTACAATAGAACACAGACTCTGTTTTAGTGCAAGTCTGAGTTTCAGTAGCTGCAGACACCGGTTCCAATTTTTTGGGGTATCACAGCAGAATCCAAAGCAGAATTTCTGAGCTGATGTGACCCTTGAAAGTCTCTAAGCAATTGCTGTTATTCTACACAGTCAGACATGATTAACTCAGATGTGTTCATTGATTCTGAGCGCCAGGACAGGTACTGGAAGAGAGCTTACAGAGGGTGTTCAGTCTCCACCTCAAAGACATTTAATGCAGAACTGAGAAAGAGTTTGTCAGTAATGATACTGGCCTAGTTGATGCCACACTTGCTGAAGGGCAGAGAACTCCAGGGCATACAGGCAGAGGCATACAGGGAGAAGTACTTGCAGTTGTAAAGTTAAAATGCACTTTACATGGTATACGACTAAATCAGTCAGAACTTTATTTTGAAAATAAGGAAAATCCAGGTTTTTCATTTAGGGCATCTTTTACTGCATAAATTTATTTAACAGTAACACTAATTCTCCTAAATATATAAGGGCTGGGTGGGTTTTTTTTCAGTTATTGCTTTCCTCTGATGTTCTGCTGAATCAGGACTTTACGCAAGTAATTAAATAATTCACTGTCACAGTGAGCAAGTCTGTTAGATGAGAGAGGGACTGCCCCAAATGCTTTCCAGCCAGGACCAGAACAGTAGCCATTTCACTCCACCACTAGTGAAGCACTATTTTATAACAGTATTAATAAACAGCTGAGTAGCTGGTAAGGTGAGCAAAATGAAAACCATATGCTGGAAAAAGAGGAAGACTTTAGTGGAGACTCAGACCTTGTCCCTGTTCATAATTAATCTGCAGTTATTCCATATGCCTAATGCTTTTCCACATCCTTCAATGTGTGTTTTCCACACCTTTCAAAATGTTCAACTGGAAATGAAGATTCTCTCACAGAGAATTTAAATCTACAGGAAAGTGGCTTCCTTTGACAGCTTCTTATAAGTTGTCTGCAAGTCCAGAGGAACCCCTTGGATCACAGGATATTTCTTTCAATCTTCCCATCACATGCCTTTAATGCATAATTCTGAACTAAAGGATAGACCTCAAGAGATGTAAAATCCATTATCTCTTCCTGAAAGTCATTGTTAATAATAAAGTCCTTCAAAGTCAATTACAAACTGCAAGCTCTACAGCCTCATTAGTTCTGCTGCAACTGATGAATTGTAACTGCTTGAAAGTAAATGAGGAAACCTGTTGTTCACACAGAAGGAAGAACAGATTTGAACAGATTTCATTTTGGCTCTGCAGAGCTCACAGAAGTAAAAGGTGGCAATAATGTTGTTGTTCAACAAGTCAGCAGATGTGAATGAATCCACAAGGGGAGCAGATATGTTGTGCAAGAGGGTAACTTTTTTTACAGGTCACTGTCAGTGCCAAACCACACTCTAAACTTTTTTTTTTTTATGGGGCCATAATTATAGAAAATTGCCCTCACCCTCTCTTTTATAATCTACAGAATTATGTGTGATAGATTAAACTCTCTGCTTCACAGCCATACCTTTCATTGAACAATCACCTTCAGAGCAATGACAGTTCTTTGGGAAAGAGCACAATGTAGTATAAACAGCATCACTTTTCTTACAACTATAAATGCAGCTGTGTAGCACTTTGAACTGCTTGTGGATAATGTAAAATTTGCTGATAAAAGCAAATTTGCCAAATATATATCAGCTTTCCAAAATGTATCAATCAGTGGCCTCATAGAGCATAATAAATATATTCACCAAAATATATCAATTAGTGGCCTCATAGAGCATAATAAAGAAGGACTCCTGAAGTCTTTAATCTCATGTGAGCTAGGGTAATGCTATTATCTTAATTTTACTCAGCAGCTGGTAAACTGACATGTTGCACACTTTGCCTTCTAAAGCATCTTAAGAAATGCTCTGCATAGCATTGCATTCCTTTGGTGACTGAGAGATCTAAATCCCATTTTCGAAAGAAATGTAGGCAATCAGGATTGCCGCCCGCATTAAAAAAAAAAAAAAGGCCATTTAATTTGGACACTGGGCCTAAATTTAGACAACTATCTTACAAAACTCCTGGCCAAAGGACAGCTTGTGCAGAAACAAATGCAAAAAAAATATCCAATTTTCCAAAACTCTGTGTAGCTTTTGGATAATGTGAATCAGCTTCTTTATTCTTGGATCCTGAATCAAATTCAGTGGAAAAAAATGTGCAGTCTTATTTATTTTGTTGTTGTTATACCCAGAACTGCTGCCTTTGAACATGCAGTCCTCAGTAAACTGATGTTGCATGCCAAGGTTAAGAATAACAGTAGAATATGAAAATCATGTTTTGAAGCGCTGGATGCTTGCAGGACAATGAAACATTGCATTTCATGTTAACTAAAGAAAAACACCTAACATCTCCTAAAACATATGACATCCAAACCTTGCCTGATCTGCTCAATAGAATCTCCTAGGGAACTAAATCAAGCAATGGTCCCTCTTGGGGATATAACTCTTAAACTCTCAACAGAGAACCCAACTACTCCCATTCAAAAAGAAAATCAAAATAAATAGGAATAAGTAGTTTCCCTTAGTCCCTTCCCAGTATTTCCCTTTTCTTTATCCTCTATTTAGCAGAGAACAATTTGCATGCAGTTAAAAGCTTCTTCTGAAGAAAAGTGATTTTAAATTTGATGGCAAGCCAATCTCCCCTGGAGTGCCAAGCATCAAGATGCATGCACACCCTTTCATCCAGCACATGGTTAGCAATTTACCTGGTCTGACACAGCTGGTGCAGCCCTGCTTGCTCCTTGATGGGCCTCAGGTTGAATACCACTTGCTGGGCCAGGTCCAGATCTTGGTGCTTTACCAGATTTACTAGCAGCAGCGCTTGGGAGCCTCGCACCACTGCCGCCTCCTTTGCAGCACCTTTCGTGCACAGGGAGACGGTCAGGAAAAAAGGTTCGGCCACACTTTCTACAGGGCACCAGCTGGGCTTGAGCACTATAATAAGCTGCTTCATTTTCATCTGCAAGTGTATAGGAACCAGAACCAGTAAGGGCCTCAGGTTTCTTGGGCTCTGGCCTTCTAAGGTGCTTTGGTAGCTGATTGTTCTCAATACGCCACTTCTCCAGGCACTTAGGTTCATGTATAGCAATAGATTGTGACCCAAATTCTCTGCCACAGATATAGCATACCTTGAAGGGAGGTCTTCTTGGTGTTTGAGACATGTCTGAAGAATTTGACTGTTGTGACATTATTGCAGTTATTATTGCCTGGTTACCTCTTCTGAGATCCAGATTCCTAGATGTACTACTTCGGGAAAAATTCTGGGAAGATCTGGCACATAAGATCATGAAACTTGCTCTAAAGGCAAGGTGTTAGAGATAATAATGGCTTCTTCAGCACTTGATAGACTACTACAAGTTTTGTTCACATTGTTTTTCTTGACATATGTTTCCTTGAAGAGTATCACATTTCAGGAAACTTCTGTCTCTCCTACACATAAAGAGGTTGGGAAAGTCTGGTATTCAGAATGATTCTACATCTTCTTAATCCATTTTCACCAGCCTAAATATATTAGGGACTTCAAAGGTGGAACACTGAACCTTATGGCTGCTTCAGAAGAGAAGGGGATTTCTGTGTGTTATTCTTTTGTCTTTTGTTCTACACAACCCTGAAACAAATGAAATTAGTATAAATTAATAAATGTATTCTCTCTAGTTAAGGTTACCAACCACTGGTTTTATCACAAGGAACAATTAAACTTACTAATCTGTTATATTTTTAATAGCAGATAAATAACATCAAATATATTCTTATCTGCAGTAATCAGCTGAACAATGTAAATCTGAAATTCTGGTCCCACAGGATTGTAAAATCATGATGGACATTAAATTTGATGGGTTTGCACAAACTGAAACTGATGGCATGCAAGTGGCTTGGTGTATAACCAATATGCTTTACTTTCAGTTTCTGATATAACTGGTATTTCTGGCAGTCTTCAACGTCAATACTTAAAGATCATTTCCCTGTATCCAGAGACATAAGAAAAACTTTCTCATTAGAGAGATGCCAATGTTCAATCTACAAAGGGACAGTAAGAAAGGAAAGTGTTCCCAGTCAATCTGTTGGTTGAAGGAGATTATTTAGTCCCTTAATTCAGCACTTGTGGTGTCACAAACTCTCTGACCAATCTTGATTGTCCTAGTACAAGACTCTTATTAATGAAATGGAGCAGGTTTCTTAATAAGGCTTACTGAGGTGCTTTGGGGGCTGAAGTACATGCTGGATGAGAGAGAAAGGGCACTGCATTTGTTCAGTCTCCAGATATTACTAAATATGTTTCAGTTTTTCAATGTCCAGTGTATCCCTGTAAACAGATAAATTTGTGCTTTATCCCTTAAATGTTCATTTCTTACAGTATTTTGGGCTGTTCCTCCAAAGACTAGAAAATATAATTCAGACCATACACATATACTGCAGAGGCTACTGTTTTAATCGCATGGTAAAATAAAAAACCAAACTAGCACATCACATAGATAGGTAACTGCCAAGGACAATCTACTTTATCTGTGACAGAAGAAATACGTGGCTGAAGTCATGTTGCCCTTACTGAATATTCCAGACTTTATCTCAATGCTTCCAAACTTGTGGGGGATTCATAATACACGTACATATCCACACTGGCTGTCTTGATGTCTTGGTTCACTTCCCCTGCTGCAACCTGGATGTTTTTACTGCTTTTTTGCCATGTCACCATTCAAGACTCTGTTCCCACTCAACAGCCTTTTCACCCTCCTCTGTCCCACCTCTAAACCCCCAGGCTGACTTTTACTATACCCAACTGCAATGACATTGTTTTGTCAATTATTTTGAGATGACAAACTTAAACTTTGTCTGTGTTACTGAGAAGCAACTGAGCTCATTCTAGTCTCTTGCAAATATTCTAGGGGGTACCTTAAGTACAGGGGCAACAGTGAAAAAACAAGTTGTCACCAGGTTCATGTGAGTAGTCATCCTTTTGTGCAGCACACAAAGATGTTTAGATTGCTGCATTGACACTGCTTGCTTAAATACTCACAAAACTGGATATTTCTGTGACACTGGGATACTTTCTTATTTTACAGATAATTCCTGTGAAGCTTGTATTTATTTGTAGGCAAACTGGAAAATGTGAAGACTATCAGACCCAGTCTGTGATTTGTGCTGGAACAAATCTGTGAGCAAGTATGTTATGGCTGTTAAAAATAAAATTTTTGAGGACCATTATACTTGGCGCATTCAAAGTTAACACCTCATCCAAAACTGTATTAGATAACTGCAGTCAGTTGAAAAACAGGGTGAAGTGTGTGGCTGTGGTATCCTGTCATGTCTGAAGCTATCAGGTGTATCAGGTGCACATAATATACCCTGATGGTTACAATGAACTATAGTACTGGAATTTTTAGTTCAGATATCAACAGGTTCAGCAGTATGTGAAATTTAAATGTGCAAACTGGTATTTAGGCTACTGTACTGCAAGGCTGTTTGAAAGACTGGGAGTGTTTCCAAGGAGGGTGGCCTGTTGGATGAATCCAAGTTGGGAAACAGCCAAGCTCTTTAGGAGGATGAAGGGAATGGAGAGCCAGGGAAACATTAAAGGGTCATGAAGGCAGGGGAGATAAGGGTTATTGGCTGGTCACAGGAAGGGAGCATAAGAAAGTTCAGTAACATTTCAGGGAACTTCTGAACTTTGCAAGGTCCTATTTATGTCCTATTTATTGATTTATGTCAAAAAGAAACTTTCTCATACCTGAGAGGATTCTTAAAGCAACAGTGAACGCTGAACTGCCTGCCATATGAAGAATGTTAGGTGACTAAATCTGTTGCCCTTAGGAATGAATCAGTCAATAAAAGATGCTATAAACAATCTATTAACAATATAACCTATTGTTGGATTTCCAAGCTTGCTATTGTAAATACTTCATAAGAGAATTATGCTTCCTTGTGGGGATTACACAATTTGGTCTACATTTATTCCTGCCAATTTCACTGTTATTATTTGGAAACTTCCTATAAATTCAGTGTGAAATGAAAAGGCATATGAGCAGTTCAAATCTTCTCTCAGGCTCAGTGGTAAAGATGTGGGAGTAAATCAGGACTGGGATTTAACAATTCAAAACATAAAACTTTCTTGTGTTTTTCTTTTTAAAACATTGCAGTATGTTTTAATAAAGCAGGAAGGCACAGTTGATCATTCATACAGCTATGGGAAAACATTTCTCTCCTCTGTAATTCCAATGAGGACAACACTTAAAAACAATTTCATTAACTGCAGTGACGTCACTTACAACTATCAGAGAAATTCAATGTAATTAAAAGCAAATTAAATACTATGTATAGTTTAGAATCAGAGCAAGGGCTTCAGTCTAATCAATATAGAACAGAATGACGAGAGCGCAAGCAGCTCAATACTTCTATCATTTTCTTGTCCTGAAGTGGGAAGGGGAACTCTTGCACACAGTTTTTGAACTTCACCTAATCAATTGCAACAATAACATTATTGCAACAACAGCCACCATAGCATTATTAACAACGCCAGAAATTGAAACAACATCATTATTAACAATGCTTCACTTATGCTGCCTTCTCTTCACCTCCCTGTGTGATTCAATCTATAGAAGTGGAAACTTTTTCCCTGAAACAGCCTTCGTTACGTCTTGTTTCATGTCAGTGTTGGAACTTGGAAGCAAAGTTGACACATACGTTTCCTATTTCCTGTATGCAGCCCATTTCTGAAGAGCGACCCTCTCTGTTTTTCATCTCTCTTGATTCTCTCATGTAAACAATTCCTCAAAAACCATTATAAAGTCATTTTATAAGCCTGGATTCCTTGACTGAATTGAAAAAAACATACTTGCGTTAGCTGGGGGATTAAACTGGCTGTTTCCAATGAATCCGCAACACTACTGCTTTTGACTTAGCTAGAATTCCACACGGAGACCTCCCAGCTATAACAAAAACAGAGTTTACCTTACGGAAGAACACATTGCATGAAGCTTCCTACTACCAGGACATAACCACGCTTATTCAATGGATAAAATACTGGAACAGCTGTGAGAATTTGGGGATTCTGTTTTTGTACAGTTTATGGATGCTGACTGGTATCACAGCCTTTCCATGTGTAGCTGTATCAGACTGTAAACTCTGTTTAATCTATATGGCTGGTTTAGTGTCACTGTTCTAATCTGCTACCACAGAAAGATAAATCCTTGCACCAAATAAACACAGAGCTTTCAAGCTTACAAGTCAAAAGTGCCCCAAGAACCTCTTAGATATATTTGACTCCATCTAAAAGCAGAGACAATTAAAAAAAAATCCCCTTGGACATGCTTGGCTTCATCTAAAAGCAGAGACAACTTCCAGGAAGACCATAAACAGGCAAAGTATGCAGTGGGAACCAAATACTTTGCTATTTTTTTAAGTGCTTGATAAAGCTGAGAAGGATTTATATGGAGTACTTGCTTCAGGTGACAGTGGCTTAAATCCACGAGGCTCTTTGGAGAGGTCGTCTATAATTGTAGAATGCTTACAAAAATCAGGACTCCCAAAATAGGGTTACAAGAATGTCTGCATAGGTTGATCTGCTGGAGGGAGAGGATGAAAGGCTACACAGACACATAAATGAAGAGGAAAACATATGGGTTCAAATTGGTGGCAAACACAAAAGCCTGGCAGAAGCTCAGCTACACATAGATTGTCAGCGCCAAAAAAAGAATAGACTAATTTTAGCTTGCAGAATGGAACTGGTTCATCCATTATCTTGGATTCAAAAACACTTGGTTGTGTGTACCCTCGTTTATGTAAAACCCCACTTTGCTCTGAGTTTTCCCTTTGTTTTCCCTTTGTTCAATACTACACTCAGTGTTGTGTACTTACTCTGCCTGTCCACCATGCAGTGCTTGGAACCAAAGCTTTCTGTTTGTGACACCACTTTGTTATGTGGGTCATTTAATAAGGGTAATTTATGTACACTGGATTAAATTCACAAGTACCCTAAAAGAAAAGATGTTAGTTGTAGTACCTAACTGTACTGTTATATCAACTGGAAATGTCTCAAATAGCTTTAAGTGAGAAGCCACAAGCAAAAGCTTCTTATACAAGGGTACCCAGAGATCCTGGTTTTTCGGTTTGGGCTGGATTCTGTAAACAGACAAAGGAGAAAACTCAGTATAAAAGGATATTAAATAAGTGATATTAAATAAGAGATATTAAATAAGTGATCTGCCAAGCATAACACAAGAAGTCTGAAAAATAGGAAAATTAAATTTAGATTTTCTAGCACCTCCATACTGAATCAGTCCAGTCACAGGATTTTCTAAGGCTGACCCCTAACTCTACACTCAAGATAAAAGTAAGTCTTTTTTCTCCACTTTCATGGGTTCTCTTTATATTTACATATAAAAAAAGGTGTCAGAAAGGACAAAATGACACCATCTGTTGAGTGCCAGAAAGCATTGCTTCAGGCTCTTTTCAAATAAAATGTTTTCTATGAGGCTTCCCATTATTCTTTAAGGGAAAGCAAACAAAATTTAACCAGCATCTCACGCTTTATTTTTTCTTGTGTTAATGTTTTATATTGCTCAATTATAAATCATTTTAGAAATCCGTTAAGACAAAGTACTCAAACATAAGCTGGACAAAAATATTGGACAATTTGTAATATCTTACTGTTAGATCTGTTTTTCACTGCAAGATAAAAGGAAAAAAACATTTTTATGTTTCCAACAATATTTTTAGCAAATTAACCACATATTAAAAACCTCACATTTTTCCAGTTCAGCACTACATTCTCTCCACAGTTTCTGGCTGAAGGAATCGCCTTTGGTTAGTCCTAGAGACAAATAATTTCCTTCAGTCATGTGAAAAGAATAATCTATTATTTTATGGAAATAAATACCAAAGTTTACTATGTCAACACGCTTCATCTTTTCACAGCTGAGCATGATCCATGTCTTTATGCATCCTCCTCTCTCAAGAAACCACCTGCAAGCTCCAAACATACAAATATTGGCATATACGTCACTTCCATCAGCTTCAAGACTTTGTAACACCAAATATCACAGCAGCCTGGCTTAAATGTCTCAGGAGCAATGCACACTCAGAAGCATCCCAGTGTGCAGCTTGTTCTAGCAGGTGCACACACACCTTTTCTCCCCTGCGATCTGCAGCCCAGACCGTGGTGGTTATGCCTTTGTCTAAAGTGGATACAGCCAGACAGGAGGGCAGGACAAGAATACTCAAAACCAAACAGGCCAACTTAAAAAGCCATTGTGATCTGATATTTGCAAACAGGCAAGAACTGTCTGGGAATCTTCTAGTGAACATTTTTCCCACTGTTTAAAGTGTTGGTTAGAAAAAACTGGAAGTTTCCTCAAAGATGTATCCTGTATGACTTACACAAGAGAGAAATAAATCGTGGGTATCTTTAAGCCTGTGTCTGCATGTGTAAGATAAGGAAAAATACATATCCCAGAGGTTGCTATACAGCTCTTATAGAGAACTGTTTAAGGTGTTCTTTGTAATGAGACAATCAACCTAGTCAATGCTTTTCACAGTTTTCCTCTGACCAGTGAAATGACCAGATCCTTCATTGAATCTGATTACCTTTCTACCTAAAACCTACCTTTATGGGTCACTCAAAACGTCCCTGGTATCAACAGTAGCCAGGGTATGCCTGGCATTTAAGAAGATCCTATATACAATTTTGCAGTAATTAGTTCTACTTTACTTAATTAGTTCTATGTAAGTTTGTGACGGTATTACCAGAGAAAGCTGGAGACTGCTTCTAGAGATCCAGTAGTTCTTTCATGTTATTATGTCCTCTGCCAAATGTAAGAAATAATTCCTTTGATTTGAATGAGATCCTAACATTATATGAAGAAGTTATGACTGCTACTAGTTAAAATACATGGGAAAAAAATGAAATATTTTTAGTGAAAAAAGGGTAATTTTTTATACTTTTAACATTCAAAAAACTTTAAAAATTCAGTAACACAATTGTCTCACATCTCAGATATCCTTTAGACTCTACAGTGTTCTTGGTTTTTGTATTTTTCTTAGCGATGCAATACGACTGAGGGTGAGGGTAAAATTTACCTTTGTTTTACTCACAATTATTTAATGCACTCATCTCATATTGTAAAGGAATAACATTACTGCCTCCACACTTATTCTTCTGCAAAAATCAGCATATATATTCCCAGCTGAGTGACAACAGGGATACTTATATATAACATTCTTAATCCTCTTGAGTTACTAGCACATATCTTTGATATTTACCCTGCAAATCCTAGATAATAGATATGCATCAAATAATGGATAATAATGGGTATGTTAACCCTGCCCACAGCACTCAAGTATGAGAGAAAACAGACACTGAAGCATGCCTACAGAGCTCAAAGTAAGCAACCTCTGCTTTCCAGCTCAATTATCTTTGTTCGGCATTTCATTTTCTGGAACTCACATGCACAGAATCAGGGGTTTTTCTCCCCAGGGATCTGGATGATGACTATGCAATTATTTCAATATAGTAGGGTCATCCTTAGGGAGAAAAAAATGGTGGATGGATAAATGCATATTCAGTTATGAGTCTGAAACAAAAAGAATAGAAGCCAAGAATGTCAGCTTGTACAAACTGACACAAGGCAGTGGAACTCAAAAGGAGGACGACACTGCACATGTGCTGACAGCCTCTCCCTGCAAGTGTAAAGTGATTCAGTGATGGAAAGATATTTTTCCCAATAATCTGCAGCAATACAGTTACATTATACAGGCTAAAGTAATCTAAAGTGGTAAATGTTCTTTTCTTTTACAGTGAAAATCAATCTTAACAGACCGATTTTTCTGAATAGGAGAAAAACTGTTTCTTCTGATAAATGATTCCATAACTAAGGTTTTTGGTACTTTTGTTATGAACAGGATACTCAGATAGACAATCTGATTATCACGGAAATTATTAAACTCAGCAAGATGGGCCAGCTACTAAAATACGAAAACTAAATGAGCAGAGAGCCACAAGAGCAGAAGAGAAGCTGAGGGAATCTAGAGCAGCAGATGAAATTATCTTAAGTGGAAAATGTCTAGAAAAGCAAAACTCTGGACATTCCAATTATTTTGTGAAATGCTGGAAAACCTAACAAGACATTATTAAATACTCATTGTTGCATGAATAATGCAGCACATCCTAATTCTTTGCAGAACACTCATGATGTAGTAACACAAAAAAGAAAGGGCTGCTTACTAAATCTGTTATGGAAAACAGCGTGGTAGGAGGGCTGTCAAAACATTCATCATGTCCATCAAGAGCCTTAACAGCCCTTTAGCACTCACTCTGAAGGATTTGCTTGTAAAAAACCTTAAAAGCATCATTCTTCTACATTACTGTTTTTCTCCTCCAGATTAAATCAACAATGATTTACAACTGGTGTGAGAGGACATGATGGATAAAGGTCCTCAAGGTCATCAAGTTTTACCTGGTACCCCTGGGTTATGATGATCATGTAACTTGTCATGTTTAATGAGCATCTTTTTCTCAGTTTGTATTTGAAGCATTGGTCCATATTGTCCTGTTTTCTGTCTTATAATTCTTTAGGATTAAATTCCATGTGCGAACAAAAATACATATGGAATACAAGCCTGAAATATCCCCAGATGCAGCTTAAAAAGAGGTATGTCTGAGCTCCCTACTGTGTAGCCATAATTTCACCTGTTTATAAGCCAGTGCATTCTATTAGAGATCAATGTCCTACAAAGTTAAGGTGATAGAAAAAGTAAATTTTAGTAGAATATATTACTTTGTAATGAAGGAAATGGTATTAGTTTGTGACTTGGGAGATCAGTTCTGTTATAGTACCTTAGGAACACATTTTGCAGTAAGCTTTAAGATAAACCACTTGGAGAGCAAAGTTTTCTGTTTCTGTTGTGCTTTCCAAACAAAACAAAACAAAGCAAAACAAAATGGCTTTTTTATTAAACCTTTTCATTATTGTTATGTACCACATATTTTCTAGGAACAGAACTGAGATAATTTGTTATACAGGGCAATCAGCAATTATGTGCCAGGTAAGGCTGCCTTTTACAGAGAATAACATTTCTGCCTTTCAATGTCCATATTGTTAGCATGACTACCGCAGTTGTATTGTCCTGCCCCTTAAAACACACACATAAATGAGGAGTGGGGAACCAAAAAGTCAGAACATCTAACCGGGTAAGTGTTCACGCACCATTTTTTCCAGGCCAGGCAAACCTCTGCAGAAACAAATTCCAGAGAACAAATGCATTATCCTCACAGTAAGTACCAATACAAGTGAATGTATTACCAGCTAGCTGGTCTAAGGGTACAAAGTCACACAAATCTCTGTTGATTGACCTTTCTGCTTATTTACAACTGGGCCCCTGACCTCTGCAGGAATCTCACCATCTGGTACTCAGGGGAAAGCACTGTTTTCCTTGGATGAGGACAGGAGACAGGACTGCATTATTTAAACCCTGGCTGACTGAGGCTCAGGCCAGGCATGTCAGTACCATCTTCACAGGGAAATCAGGTGAAAACCAGCAAAACCGGGTTGTGAGTTCAGAGGACCCTGCGCCAGTTGGCCAAGCAGAAGAGTGGCCTGAACTTCAGGAGAGAAGCAAAAGCATGGTTCCTCCTCACCCAACCAATCTTCCACCGCTCTGCCCGAAAAAGAACAGTTCACGGGCTTATTCACATCGAAGGCTCCCGAGGCCGTGGATGGCACCTAATTTTCCATGTCCTCCTAGACACCTATTACCTCCGCGTGGATCACAATTCCCTCATGCGCCCTGGGGCTGGGTGTCTGCGCTGCCGCCGCCCGGGGCCCGGCGTGCCCGCTCCGCAGGCAGGGAGGCGGGGCGGGCGGGAAGGCGCTCACGTGGCGGCGGCCAGGCCGCACCGCCCGCCCTGCAGCCGCGCGCCGCCGTTACCGCGGCAACGCCGCGCCGCGTGCAAATCCCTGCCTTCGGCGCGGCCGCTGATTGGCGAGGGCGGCTGTCAGTCATCGCGCGGGCGGCCCCGCCTGCGGCCCACGGGGCGCTGAGGGGGGCGCAGGGAGCCGCACGGGCTGTCTTTTCATGGTGGGCTGACGGGACCGCCTGCCCAGCTGAGCACCGGGCAACGTTCTGTGGGGAGCGACTTCGCTCAGGCTCTGCATCCTTGCGCAGGGACCCTTCTCTCAATCCCTTTCCCCTGTTGTCTGGGGGAGAAGGGACATATGGCAGCATTGCGAAGTCCAGGCAGCAGAGAAGGATAAGCATGGTGAGTCCTAAATCCATCTCCCACGTAGGCACTCTTCTCATTCAAAAATATACTCTTTTCGGCCAGACTGTTTTCAACACTTTTCCAAATTTAACTTTTGCAAGCTTCATATTTTCCTTGGAAGTAAATTCTTACAGAAACAATGATAAATAATTGCTACAAGAAAACACCACTGGTTCAAACATTCCCATGGCAAGTGTCCTCTGGTGGCAGTGCCAAGAGCAAGCCAGCAGGGCCGGTTTCATGTTGCCCATTTCTGCATAACAAACTTCAGTTGTCACTTAGTGAAAACTTAAAATGCACAGCAGGCATCATTTGTGTAGGGTCATGCCAAGAGCAAGTGTTCTGCTAAGCAACAGAGATCTACTGCAAACAAATTCTAGTACCTGTTTGAAATTTTTGGTGTGCCTGGTGTGCTAGTGAGGCAGACGTGAAGCGAACCTGTCAAACAGGCTTTTACAACGTCACATCCTTCAACCAGGTGAATTCCCAGGCCTGAGGCCCAAAGTTATATTTACAAAAAGCCTTCAGAGAAATAAAATCAGGTTGTCTGATCAGAACATGTTGCATTGCACAATGTCTGTGTGCAAAGAAGGGAAGTGATAGCATGTGAGGCCTTTTGACACTGCAGCACCAGGAAGCCCAGCAGTTAATTCACCTTAATGCTGTGTATGACAAAGGGTATTCTTCAAATGACTAGCACCTGGATTAAAAGCAAATTACATTTAACCTGCACTTTGCCTTAGTGGTTAAACACAATTTGTATTGCTCCAAATTTATTGTCAGCATGACACAGAACTCCCACCTTTTGACAATTAAAATGCAGACCCTCTTTTTAGCAGTATTTGCAGAATGCTTTGATGCCACGAAAAAACAAAGAAAAAATTATTTCACCTCCATCACTGATTCTATCACCCAAGACTGTTAGTTTCAAATTATTTGAGGTTACAAAACTGTGATTGTTGTATGTGACAGATAAACAAGTACGAAAGAATAATGGTGCAGTTACAAAGTCAAAATCTAGGAAGTGCTAAAATTAGAGTGACCCTTTGACTCACCAATCTTTATAAATAGATAATAAAAGTATCTTTCCATGTTGTAAACACCTACACTGACCGATGTGTCTTCAGAAAATAAAAAATATTTTCCTCCATTGTATGATTTTTAGGTGGCACACAGGTAGGACTGTTGTTTCCACATGAGCTGTCCTAGATGTCAACTCAAAGGTCTGAAAATAGTAAGAGAAGTAATCTCAGTGCAAGATTTAGGAAAAAGACCCTAAAATCTTGCTATTTTTTTGTTTAAATTAATAAAAGTGTTTCCAGATCACTAGAAATTAGGAACAATCTAAACAATATTACTATTCCAATTTAAAAGCCCACCCCAAATCCTTAACAAAGTTCTCATCGAGGTGTTGGAATACGTTTTCTGTTACAAGTACCACGAATAAAATAGATGGATTTTTAATAAGTTAGTATGTATATAAAACTTGGTGATTTTTCATATAAATTTGTACCAACAATATATTAAAAATGGATGAGAAATTTCCAGCTGAATTCCTGATTGGTGTATTATGTATGTATGTAGGTATGTACGTATGCTTGTTTGTGTGGAGATGTTTAGGTACTTGAAGAAGCAAAAATGGACAACCCTGAAAAAAATTTGCTATACTACATATGCCATACATGTGGTTTACTTTTCCAGCTGACTGGTACAGATCTCTGTGTTATTTTAAATTAAATGGTACAAAATTGCATTTAATCGCTTCTGGTTTGTATCTTTTCCATACTCCATTATCAACTCTTGCTGACTAGACAGAATGCAAACAAAACCCACAGGAATTATTTTTTCCCGAGAAAGAAGAACAGCAGAAATCAATTGCTCTCCCCTATGTATCTTCTTAAAGCCAGACTCTATCACATGGTGGACAAGATACTCCCTAGAACCAGCTTTATTATATGAAGTAACTGACATTTCTTGTACATGTGCAATTAGGGCAACCTGGAGCAACAGGAAGAGTCATAGAGAAGCCATGGGAAACTTATCATAGGATATCAATGTGTCTGATAATTTCCCAAAAGGCCTGAGACAAACATCAATAAAAATATTTGTATCCCAGCAAGACAGGAACAACCCTGATATAATTACTTTGCACATATTTTTGTAACCGTCATTCCAACTAATAGCTGCTTTGCTTCTGCTGCCCTATTTTGCTTCCTTCAAAACTCTGGGTGGGATCCTATCTGAAGGTCAACTTGGAAGCAGCAGAGAAAGAATAAATAAACCAAGAGTATGAAAAATGCCTTTAAAAGTAGCTTGGATGGGGTAGAGGTGAGAGGTCATCAATTGCTAGGACTTCTTTATTTTTACTGTTTATTATAGCTCATTTGCTCATGGAGAGAAAACAAATGAGGCAAGTCCATTTTATTATATATTATTTTTACTTTCAGGATTGCTTTTCTGAACGTTTGGAAACATTTGTTATATGTCTTTCCCATTACCAGTATTTCTTTTCTCTTGTGTGTAAAGCAGTAATATTAGCTCCACTGAAGATTTTCCTATGACAACATGTTTTGGTAACTGAAGATTTAAGAACTTAATACGATTTAGTTGTTGTGAAGTCATTACTTAGGAGACCAATGTATTTAGTTTGTGACATTGCCTTGTTAGGTGCCACTCTTTTGCTTTACTCGCCAGGTTAGCATGCAGACCCTCCTTCAGAGCATATCTTCAAAGAATCTGAAAGAATGTCAGTAAATTAATTACCCTCTGTGTTCTTTAACTTTTCTTTCCTGAAGAAGAGAAGGATTACACCAAGGCTGAAAGGAACGCGTGCCTTGTTTTCATTACCGTTTCCAATGGACAACCAGAAGACAGAAAAGATTATGTTGCAGCTAAGAACACAGTTCAAACATGTACAACCAGATTTCCCTTTGAAGCTGGAAGTTTTCCCAGGAAGATGGATATGGCTGCAGCTGAAGCAACAATCATTTTTCATGAGGTGAAATACTGCCACACATTCCAAGGCTGAACTACTCCAAGCAAATTACACAGTGTTAATGACATTTCCCCGTGTGACCACCTGAAAATACCTAGTGCTTTTTTCACCAGAACTGTGTTTATCTCACAATTATGCTCCTACATTACCTTTGATAATACTTGTGAGTAACAAAGATTGGTGGGAAAAATGTCAGATCCTCTGAATTAGGGTCTTTAACAAGAGAAAGAGAAATTCTGAGAAAGAATTTTGAAACTCCAAAATGCAGTGTGAGGGAGAAAGGACCCTTGTATTTGGACAGAAAAAGAACAAACCCAGTATTAAGAAGTAATGGAAGAATAAGTGGCAGCATAAGGATTATAAAATTATTAACTTCTCAAAAAAAAAATCTTCCAGAAAGAACAGTTTTAATTAGTGCATTGAATTTCTCTCTCGGCAAGAAGGTTTTATTCAATAACCAAATCATTGGTTATTAAAGACACCTATGGCTGTGCAGTGCTGTAGCTGTTAATCTTATATTTCTCAGCCCATCACAAAGGATGCATATTATATTGCTCTGGACACTGTTATTAGTTAATGCTCCCTCTTCAGGACTATAGTTGCAGGACATGGTAGCCACGTTTATTGGCCTGCCTTCCCAGAAGGCAGCTCGAGAGTCATCACTCCGCAGACACCAGAGCTCTCTGCTGTGAGTTTCCTCCCCTGACTGCCAAGAATATCAGAGGAGTTGGATTTGCAGAAACCTGAACTCCTTGCCTCCAGCTCAGGGCAGCCCAGGGCTCCTTTATACAGACTATACATTTCTTCCAGCCCCCTCGGAGTGGCTGACTCATTGCAGCCTCACACAGTCTGCCATTTCACACTCTTTCCTCTCTTGTTACATCCCACATAGGCAGCCACCATTGCCAAATCTGTCCCAAGAGCTGGAATCACCTTGTCTCCAGTGCATCCCCCTTTACCCTGCTATCATGGTGTCTAGCCATCAGCAATCTTGTGCCCCAAGCATCGATACCTACGATGCAAATTGGAACAGCAGTGTGTCAGCTACATACACACAGTATACTTCAGGATGAGACAATTTTCTTGCAACAGATGTTCCCCATTCCAGTCACTCATATTACTGCTGCCTGGATGCCCTTTTTTTCACATATGCTTTGTACATGGCATACACTTTTCATTTCATAAGCATCTTTCACATCAAGAACATAATAGGTAATGAAGGCTTCCAACAAAGCAGAAAAAGCTTAACAGCAACAACAACAAAAAGAAAGAAAAAAGAGGCTGAACTGTATAAAGTTAAATATAAGATCAACCTATTTTAAACAAGAAGGAGTAAACTACCAGAGGAGAAACTGTTAATATGCATTGAGTTCTTCAGCCCCTCAGATCTCCATGTCAAATCCACGTGACCTCAGGAAAGACAGGCTTTAGGCTAGCTGCAAAATTAGTTGGATAAAATACTATGGCCATGTTACACAGTAGGTCAAACTAACAATCTGTTGATCCCTTCTGGCTCAAAAATCTATGAGTCAAGTAATTCTTCCTAAGTGGCCCCAGCAGGAATTTGAGCCCTCTGTGACTTAAACCCCTACCATTTCTTCTTGTGTTTACATGGTAAAGATTTTTATTTTTTAGTCTACTAGCCTTTTTTCTTCCTATTTCATCACAGTAGCCCCACCAAAATGGATCTCCATGCAGAAGAGCTGCAAGTGATTCCCTATCCTCTGTCTTTTTCTTTCCATTAACTGCATTAAAAATAAATAAGCCAGAAATAGTGTAAGCAGAAAGGACTGATTTCCAGTTCTTCCTTAAAAATCCCTCACAAGCAAGATGCAGAATTTAGTTACAGCCAAAAACAGTCAAGAACCACACTTAGATCAGTTTCTATCCTATACTTCTAAGCCAAGATGTCACTAAAACAACAGCAGCATATTGTAAATGGGACACAGATTTTAAAATCTCTCTGCA